AAGAAGGATTTTTGCATAGAATCATTGGAAGCCCCCCCGTTTTCTGCTTTACGACCCCCCCCCCCCAGGACAATGATGGCCTGTCGCCTCTGGGTTGGAAACCCCCCAAGCCCTTGGCACGTGGAGGGGCGACGAAGGAGGCGGAGACACTCGAGCACCCTCCGGACCACGAGGAAAAAAACGGAGACGATGCCGCCGTCGCCGTGGACGGAATCGAAACACCACCGCTGGTACCGGCCCCTGCCCACCAGGTTGTGGATGTCGAGGAGATCGATGTCGACGAAGAGGAGTGGGCCGCCGCCGGTGGTGGCGGTGGCGGTGGTAGTGGCGGCGGTGACGGCGGCGGCGGTGGTGGTGGTAGCGGCGGCGGCGTTGGCGGTGGTGAGACGGCTTCGCCTGAACCCACCATTCCGAGGTTTGTACAGTACCATATACGTCTTTTGTCTCATTGCTTGGTCCTGTAGTCTGTTCCTTGACTGTGTTTTCCGGCATATTTCTGTTTCTCTCTGTTTGCCTGTCTCTCTCTCTCGCTCTCTCTATGTGTATCTGCCTCTCTCTGTCTGGCTGTGTCTGGCTGTCTCTCTTTCTCTGTCTGTCTCTCTCAGTGGTGTTGTCACCTTGGACGTGGCACTCAATTCTCAAGCTGAAGGGCTGGGCGTGTGTTGACCACTGGTACACAATACACGTTCTCATGGCGCATACCAACCACCGAGGAGACTGTCTCACCTCACAGCACGTCTGTTCCGCGTGGTGTCTGTCGCAAGCATCACTCCGTTTGCTGGCTCTCTTAGACGGCACACCACACTCATGTAACTGCCGTCAGCGATGTTTGCGGTGGATGACCTCCGGAGGTTCGGACCGACACAACTCGTCCAACTATGTACGCGTACATTAGAAGAAGAAAAATTCCGCAGACTTCCCGCTGCCGCTCTTTCGCCCAAGTTCGCCACACTGCTGTTTCTTTTCGTTGTGCAAACAATTGAGTAGGCCCAATTTGTATTGTTCATTTTTGTTTTCAATTCAGTCGGCCCTATGTATGCCTGTGTGTGATTCTCCCGACTTGTTCCTCTTTGGAAAATACTGTCTTCATGCCCTGTCCCTGTGTGCTTGTGTTTGCAGCTTCACGGAGGAGGAAGACACCTTGCTGTGGGGGCAGGGAGAGACCAAGTTCGACCTGGCTAAGAGCAGGTTACACGCCTGGCTCGACAGGATCCACTACATGGTCCTACCACACCCGCCGCTCGACCAGCTCGTGGACAAGCTGGGAGGGCCTAACGTGAGAGAGGGGGAGGAGGGGGGTTACTCATGTTTTAGATGCGCTAGTTGTTAGACCGTTGATCACGCGAGGACGGAGTATTTTCCACAGGTACTGATCTATCACCGATGGCCAATCGTTCCTTCCCGCTTTGCCAAACGTGCCACAAGAATAACGTTAAAACGTTTTTCCTTATCCTATCTATCTTATCGATATCACTTCCCGACCTTCTCAGCCCACTTCCTATGCCCCGAGTAAGCTACATGGACGATCTTCTCAGAACAGTCATGCACGAGGGGGGGATAGTCTTGGCATTGGTGTATAGATGGATAGGCCTTGCCAAGGTTGTAGGAACAGATACCCGTTCTCCCAAGACGACGACTCTCGCGATTGATTGTAACTGGTGGCGGCGTACGCTTGCTTCAAACAGGAGCGAAAGAAAGACATTGGACAGATTTATTGATGGTCGCCACTTAGATGGAGGCAAATATTGCCAAGCAGTTGCTGCGTTTTTGTCGGCGATTCCAGGTGGTACTGCTGTTCGCGATTTTTTATTTATTCTCTCCCCCTGCTCTACAAGCAGTGCAAGGCACAGCAAACGTGTGCAACCGTACGCTCTGGCAAGGGCACGTTCTTGCAATACTGCACGTGCAGCCTTAAAAACAAAAATGTATCTCGCGTCCTTTTTTGACACGTTCCGGCGAGAGTATGTAGGACGACGAACGCTCGGACAGAGCAAGGACTTTCCTGGTGTTCATTCTTGTTCGTTTACGGACGACGGGCTATTCGTCCTGCAGAATCAGCCCGTACAACAGCAGCAGTACTTGAGTGGATCAGAGCAGATATCCGCATTGTTGCTGTAGAACCTGGAGCCAAGACGTCGGCGGCAGATGGCGGTCCCTGGTCCGCTTTGTGTAGCACATGACACGGCGGAGGTTTTCTATTCGTTTTGAGACGTTTCCGTTGGCGGGCCGTTGGCACACGGCATGATCGAGGGTGCCTGGCGTCGTCGTCCTCTCCTTTTCGGTCTTTTTATATATTGCTCTAATTTTGCTCTAATTTTCCTGTGTTTTCTTCTTGTTTTCCCTGTTTATAGGCCACTTTTGTCTTCTTTTTTTTTTCTTTCGTAGCCGCTACACGCATTCAAGCATACGTTTGTGAGCAAGACAGACGAATAAGCGGGGCGAAACGTGAACAACGAACGACGAATGGATGTGTATGCGTACGTACGTACGTACGCGCGTATGTACTCACAGGCGGTGGTGGAGATGACGGGACGGCAAGACAGGATGGTCAAGGCGGACGACGGCAAGGTGTATCTCGAGAAACGAGACGCTAACAACACCGCCGGCATTGACGAACAGGTGTGAAACTATCAAACTGTCAAACTGTCAAACTGTGACTGTCGTCGTCGTCGTCGTCATCGTCATCGTCATCATTGTTGTATGCTATATTTATACATCTACACCAGATAAGCGCCCGCACTCAAGAACCTCTAAAAAGGGCCGAGGATCGTTTCCTACTTGTTGTCTATCTGTGGGGTATCTCTCCCAACAGAACCTATAGAGGTTTTTGGTGTATATATATAAGCTTCTTTGCCTGAGCACCTGTTCTTTTGGCCAAGTTGTTGGATTTGTTTTTTTTTTCGCTTGGATTTCTTAGCTCCCAGGTTCTCGAGTTCGGGCGCTAGCTGTGTAGCCGCTGCGGTTGCGGTTAATGTTATCCTCCTCTGTGGCATCTAGTGTATCATATGTTGTGCTGTAAATGCTTTTCTCTTTCCCTCTCTCTCCCTCTTGTAGTAAGCACAGGAAAGTCGGAAGAGCCGATATAAAGAACCAGATGGGGAGAAGGTTGGGATTTCATGCATATGAAAGAAAACCGTTTTTTCGACGCTGACGGACCTCACACTCCGGGCAGCCAAACTTTTTCGGTCAATCACACTTCAGTGACACCGAAATTGACCGCCGACAGGAACCCTGGGGGCACTTACTGGTGCTGTACCAGCGCAAGGTGGAGTTTTCTTATTGAACTAGTTTACCCATGCACACATGTATGCGCACATGCATACATGCGGCTTGACGTGTTTTCCCCTCTTCCTCCAGAACAACTTCGAGAGGGCGGAGTTTAACGAGGGCAGGAAGCTGGTGGCCATAATCTCCGACGCCGCCTCCGCTGGGGTCTCCCTTCACGCGAACCGGACGCGTCCGGAAAACCCGCGACGAAGGTGATGGGACGGGATGGGATGGGATGGGATAGAAATCTTCGTATCCCTCCCTGTGCGTAGCCTATTCGCGTACGGTGGTCTTTCTCTCCCTCTGTCCCTCTCTCTCCGTTCTCTTTTTCTCTCTCTTTTTTTCTACGTCTTCTTCTTTCCTCTCTTTTGTTGGTTTTCGTGGCACATTTGTTGTTTTTTGTTTGTCTTTTACATTTTTCAGTTCCTGCCGTGCTCGTTCCTCCTGACGTTTCTTCCCGGCTGCCCGACCAGAGCGTGGAGGGACTTGTCTTGGTCGATTGACACGACGAAGAAGTGTCGTCGTTTAAATGGCGGGTCTTGACTACCCTACGGTTTGTAGCCTACACCACACTACTATCGATACAATTGTACACGTCAGGGGAGTGGTGCATGTCCAGTCATTGTGGCATGTAACGCCAGCTGACAACAAGTCAATGAAACCCTTAAGACCAAACAAAACGTACCGTAGCTCAGAAAGAAAAGGGGCGCCATTCAGCACAAGCTCGCACTAACTTTGGGCAGCATGCTACTATACATAGAAAATGCAATGCACGAGTGTGTTGTATTGAATATTGGGATATGAGTGTCATCAGACCAATGGTTTATTGTATTGACCAATCGAGTGTATTGCAACGAAGGCGAGGAACACGAATGAATGCATGTGATTTATGAGGCGTCCAGAGCGCGGGAGTGATAAAAAAAGGGACTTGGACATGGGCCCCCAGAGAAGATAGAAATCTCGGCTACCCTTGTCACAGCAGCTGTGTAGTTAGTTAACTGCTGGGCCGCGCGGTGGTGTGCTGTGCTGCAATGCAACTCGGAAGCGTGAAGAGGCCATGCATCGGGGAGGAACTCGATGACAACGCCATCGCGGGAAATGCGATGGCCCAAAAATGTTTTTGGTCGAAATACAAAAACAAAATGTCAAAAAATAGGTTGGTACCTCCAGCCGGGATGAAACACGGAAGGAACCAGAAAAAAATCAAAAGGTGCCACCTGCTGTTGAAATGCACGTGAGGGTTGTAAGAAAGGGGCGAAAGTAGTCCGAACCGGGAAAAACAGAAAAGTATAATCCGAAAAAACGTGATGCCTCCAACCGGGATCGAACCAGTGACCTTGGCAACTTCAGTGCCACGCTCTCCCAGCTGAGCTATAGAGGCTGGTAACGACTGCCGAACATTGGCGCCTCGACCCGGAACAGGAAGAGCAAACTGGGAAAAGCA